TATGATGTCTTTGCGTAACTGCTTACCCTTTATTACAAAAAAGGAATAAATAAAGATTGTAAAAAATAAAATCTGTGAATTTCAGCTTAGAGGTTACATTTAATAAACAAATCGAGTTAAGTTATTGTTTCACTTTTTTAAAGGTTTTCGTTTAAAATGTTCTCTTGTTTTCTGGAGTAGGTAAGTTTAGGTGGGGGTAAAATCACTAATGTACTAAGCGGTATTCTGTTATCTTTCAGTAAAGAAGGTGCAGATAATTGCTCCAAACATTAAAGGGACACTATAGGCACCCAGATCACGTCATCTCGCTTGCTCTGGTGCCCCAGATCCGACCCTGTACGCGGGATACATATTGTAAAAACAGAGCCTTCCGGTCTGTACTGAGATTTAGTGCCGTAACCCATTTCTCTACTGCCAGAGATCGATTGGGGGGGTGCCGTTGAAATGGAAAAATCAATCAAGGTATTGATTATTTCTTTGTGTATCTGCCCCTGGCCAAATCAATGAAACAATGCGTGCACGCTCCCTGAAGTAATTCACACCAGACACAGGTTCCAGGTTGTTGAATAACTTGAGGAAAGTTTATTCAGAGGGGACGGCAGGTCCCTTTTAAAGCAAAATTACATCATAAGCATTGTCAGAGATAACATGGAATAATACATCAATTATTGGTTAGGTGTTAAGTGGTCTTCCTAATGCTCTGCCTACTGAGGGTGATGTCACCAGGACCATGAGGGTCTCCTACGGTTTCCCGGTGCCATCTTGCTGCACGAGGTAGTTAGTCGGTGTTAAGGGGAGGGGGAGGAGGGGTTAGAAGCTTCTAGCAGCCATTTTGATTAAAACATGTGTGTATAGCTTTTTATGTAGTATATCATGAAATGAGTAAATAGACATTTTTACTAACTAGGAAATATGAGCAGACCTTATTTCCACAACAGCCGTGATTCGTTCTTTGTCTGCCAGTGTTGCCTTGGTGTGGGGCATGCTGCCACAGTGTATATTTTAGGGAGATTATAGGCTATCTGCCACCCTCCAGACAAAGTGAGGGGAGGGGGGGCTTGGCAGACAGAACACATTCTAAACTTCATCATGTATGTATAAATATATTGTATGTGTGTATATATTGTATGTGTGTATATAAATATATGTAATTTATAACAAGTACAATGTATCTTATTTAAACAGACTTATTTCTAAAACATTTATTGTGGTTTAAAGACACATTACTGGAAGTATTATTGCTGTGGAGCTCTGTTATACACTCAGACACATTACTGGGAGTATTATTGCTGTGGAGCTCTGTTATACACTCAGACACATTACTGGGAGTATTATTGCTGTGGAGCTCTGTTATACACTCAGACACATTACTGGGAGTATTATTGCTGTGGAGCTCTGTTATACACTCAGACACATTACTGGGAGTATTATTGCTGTGGAGCTCTGTTATACACTCAGACACATTACTGGGAGTATTATTGCTGTGGAGCTCTGTTATACACTCAGACACATTACTGGGAATATTATTGCTGTGGAGCTCTGTTATACACTCAGACACATTACTGGGAGTATTATTGCTGTGGAGCTCTGTTATACACTCAGACACATTACTGGGAGTGTTATTGCTGTGGAGCTCTGTTATACACTCAGACACATTACTGGGAGTATTATTGCTGTGGAGCTCTGTTATACACTCAGACACATTACTGGGAGTATTATTGCTGTGGAGCTCTGTTATACACTCAGACACATTACTGGGTATTATTGCTGTGGGCTCTGTTATACACTCAGACACATTACTGGGAGTATTATTGCTGTGGAGCTCTGTTATACACTCAGACACATTACTGGGAGTATTATTGCTGTAGCTCTGTTATACACTCAGACACATTACTGGGAGTATAAATGCTGAGGAGCTCTGTTATACACTCAGACACATCACTGGGAGTATTATTGCTGTGGAGCTCTGTTATACACTCGGACACATTACTGAGAGTATTATTGCTGTGAATATGTTATACACTCAGACACATTACTGGTAGTATTATTGCTGTGGAGCTCTGTTATACACCCAGACACATTACTGGGAGTATTATTGCTGTGAATCTATTATACACTCAGACATATTACTGGTAGTATTATTGCTGTGGAGCTCTGTTATACACCCAGACACATTACTGGGAGTATTATTGCTGTGGAGCTCTGTTATACATTCAGACACATTACTGGGAGTATTATTGCTGTGGAGCTCTGTTATACACTCAGACACATTACTGGGGGTATTATTGCTGTGGAGCTCTGTTATACACTCAGACACATTACTGGGAGTATTATTGCTGTGGAGCTCTGTTATACACTCGGACACATTACTGGGAGTATTATTGCTGTGGAGCTCTGTTATACACTCAGACACATTACTGGGAGTATTATTGCTGTGGAGCTCTGTTATACACTCGGACACATTACTGGTAGTATTATTGCTGTGGAGCTCTGTTATACACTCAGACACATTACTGGGAGTATTATTGCTGTGGAGCTCTGTTATACACTCAGACACATTACTGGGAGTATTATTACTGTGGAGCTCTGTTATACACTCAGACACATTACTGGGAGTATTATTGCTGTGGAGCTCTGTTATACACTCAGACACATTACTGGGAGTATTATTGCTGTGGAGCTCTGTTATACACTCAGACACATTACTGGGAGTATTATTACTGTGGAGCTCTGTTATACACTCAGACACATTACTGGGAGTATTATTGCTGTGGAGCTCTGTTATACACTCAGACACATTACTGGGAGTATTATTACTGTGGAGCTCTGTTATACACTCAGACACAATACTGGGAGTATTATTGCTGTGGAGCTCTGTTATACACTCAGACACATTACTGGGAGTATTATTGCTGTGGAGCTCTGTTATACACTCAGACACATTACTGGGAGTATTATTGCTGTGGAGCTCTGTTATACACTCAGACACATTACTGGGAGTATTATTGCTGTGGAGCTCTGTTATACACTCAGACACATTACTGGGAGTATTATTGCTGTGGAGCTCTGTTATACACTCACACATTACTGGGAGTATTATTGCTGTGGAGCTCTGTTATACACTCAGACACATTACTGGGAGTATTATTGCTGTGGAGCTCTGTTATACACTCAGACACATTACTGGGAGTATTATTGCTGTGGAGCTCTGTTATACACTCAGACACATTACTGGGAGTATTATTGCTGTGGAGCTCTGTTATACACTCAGACACATTACTGGGAGTATTATTGCTGGGAGCTCTGTTATACACTCAGACACATTACTGGGAGTGTTCTATACACTTACACATTACTGGGAGTATTATTGCTGTGGAGCTCTGTTATACACTCAGACACATTACTGGGAGTATTATTGCTGTGGAGCTCTGTTATACACTCAGACACATTACTGGGAGTATTATTGCTGTGGAGCTCTGTTATACACTCAGACACATTGCTGGGAGTATTATTGCAGTGGAGCTCTGTTATACACTCAGACACATTACTGGGAGTATTATTGCTGTTGAGCTCTGTTATACACTCAGACACATTACAGGGAGTATTATTACTGTGGAGCTCTGTTATACACTCAGACACATTACTGGGAGTATTATTGCTGTGGAGCTCTGTTATACACTCAGACACATTACTGGGAGTATTATTGCTGTGGAGCTTTGTTATCCACACAGACACATTACTGGGAGTATTATTGCTGTGGAGCTTTGTTATCCACACAGACACATTACTGGGAGTATTATTGCTGTGGAGCTCTGTTATACACTCAGACACATTACTGGGAGTATTATTGCTGTGGAGCTTTGTTATCCACACAGACACACCCAACAATATGGAGCTCATAGAAAAGAGGAACATTAGGAGGCAAAATAGAGACGGGGGTTATGAGTCTGAAATAGGGACTGTCCCTCCTAAACAGGGACACTTGGGAGGTATGCTGCTCCATAACGTCTAATCTTTTCTATATATCAGTCTGTGGTTATTTGTAAATGTGTGTGTTTCAATAAAGCGCAGTCAGTCTCAGAGATTCATGCAGATTTTTATTTATTGAACAAAGCATGGTACTAATGCAGCTCACTACGTGCTCGCCATCTAGAGGAAATGCCAGGCGGTACGACGTTTGATCTGAAAGAGAAACAAGAGAGGAAATGATTAAAATAATCCAATCCCAATCAGTGATGAGTATTCTGCTCATATTGTAATAGAATCAATCCTGCTTAATATTTCAATGTAGAGAGTACTGGATATCTAAACTACTCGCAGTGTAAATATACAAAACAAAGCGTTTACATTGGGAAATTAATATATGAGCAAACGGGGGAACTTCTTAAATTAAATTATCTGTAGTGTGGAGACCAGAGTAGGAGATTAAATCCTGTTCTCACAACCCACATATATAGTTACATAGGCTGAAAAAAGACTTGATTCCATCAAGTTCAGCTTTTCTCACATCTGTTTTTGCTGTTGATCGAAAGGAAGGCAAAAAAAAAATTTTTTTGCAACAAACGAGGAGAAAAATCGGCAACTGGTTCTGAAGTTCTCCAGAGTCCCTGGTGGCAGAGAGGAAGCAGACTTGGTGGAGATACTCAGTCGGAGTACGGGAGCTCCGTCACAATGGCGACTGTGAGTGCGGCATTAAGTTCTGACCTCCCCTGTGGATCCCAGTATAACAGAGCAGGGCTAACTGTCCTGTAACATGTGAGTCCGCTAATACTGTTTATATGTCTGTTTTGTTTGTTTTCATTTTCGCATGTCATGATTTTATCTCCACGAAAATCAGTTTACAATAAATTGGATAGAATCGCATTATACAAAGTGTGTTTACTAACTGCTGAAATACAATTCTCTAATTTTCACCCTTTTTTCTGCTTGTTTAAATGCCATGTTTTCTTGGGATCTACAATCACACCAGGTGACCTGATGCTCTGAGCCGTACTCACCGTCTAGTTTTCTGTCATGCATTCATCTGGAAGATAATAACAAAATCATTAGGAAGATCTAAGCAGAAGAAATTAAATCATTTTCTGTTAACGCAACGGAGTCGCTATTTTATTCTATAACATTTTAAACAGGAAGTAATGGCTGGAGCCGGTTGTGTCACATTATGTGTTTTTCATACCCTGTATAAGTTAAATGTATTAAATAACCATTAAACTGCCTCTTATTCCAGCTCTGGGAAAGACTCCTCACAGCAGACCTCCTCCAGTGAACACAACAAACCTAATTACTTTTGTATGTATGTATGTATCTATGTATGGATTGTTTGTAGACACTGTGTGGATTGTCTGTAGACACTATGTGTGGATTGTCTGTAGACACTATGTGTGGATTGTCTGTAGACACTATGTATGGATTGTCTGTAGACACTGTGTGTGGATTGTCTGTAGACACTATGTGTGGATTGGGTGTCTGTAGACACTATGTATGGATTGTCTATAGACACTTTGTGTGGATTGTCTGTAGACACTTTGTGTGGATTGTCTGTAAACACTATGTGAGGATTGGGTTTCTGTAGACACTAGGTATGGATTGGGCGTCTGTAGACACTATGTGTGGATTGGGCGTCTGTAGACACTGTGTGGATTGGTTGTCTGTAGACACTATGTGTGGATTGGGTTTCTGTAGACACTAGGTATGGATTGGGCGTCTGTAGACACTATGTGTGGATTGGGCGTCTGTAGACACTGTGTGGATTGGGTGTCTGTAGACACTATGTGTGGATTGGTTGTCTGTAGACACTATGTGTGGATTGTCTGTAGACACTATGTGTGGATTAAGTGTCTGTAGACACTATGTGTGGATTAGGCATCTGTAGACACTGTGTGGATTGGGTGTCTGTAGACACTATGTGTGGATTGAGTGTCTGTAGACATTATATGTGGATTCGGTGTCTGTAGACACTATATGTGGATTGAGCGTCTGTAGCCACTATGTGTGGATTGGGCGTCTGTAGAAACTATGTGTGGATTGGGCGTCTGTAGACATTATATGTAGATTGGTTGTCTGTAGACACTATGTGTGGATTGGGTGTGTGTAGACACTATGTATGCATTGGGTGTCTGTAGACACTATGTATGGATTGTCTGTAGACACTATGTGTGGATTGTAGATTGAGCTACTCTAGACACTGTGTGGATTAAGTGTCTGTAGACACTATGTATGGAATGGGCGTCTGTAGACACTGTGTGTGGATTGTCTGTAGACACTATGTGTGGATTGTAGATTGAGCTTCTCTAAACAGTATGTGTGGATTGGGTGTCTGTAGACATTATATATAGATTGGTTGTCTGTAGACACTATGTGTGGATTGGGTGTCTGTAGACACTATGTTTGGATTGGGCTTCTGTAGACACTATGTGTGGACTGGGTGTCTGCAGACACTGTGTGCGGATTGGGCATCTGTAGACACTACGTTTGGGTTTGGGTGTCTGTAGACACTATGTATGGATTGTCTATAGACACTTTGTGTGGATTGTCTGTAGACACTTTGTGTGGATTGTCTGTAGACACTATGTGAGGATTGGGTTTCTGTAGACACTAGGTATGGATTGGGCGTCTGTAGACACTATGTGTGGATTGGGCGTCTGTAGACACTGTGTGGATTGGGTGTCTGTAGACACTATGTGTGGATTGGTTGTCTGTAGACACTATGTGTGGATTGTCTGTAGACACTATGTGTGGATTAAGTGTCTGTAGACACTATGTGTGGATTAGGCATCTGTAGACACTGTGTGGATTGGGTGTCTGTAGACACTATGTGTGGATTGAGTGTCTGTAGACATTATATGTGGATTCGGTGTCTGTAGACACTATATGTGGATTGAGCGTCTGTAGCCACTATGTGTGGATTGGGCGTCTGTAGAAACTATGTGTGGATTGGGCGTCTGTAGACATTATATGTAGATTGGTTGTCTGTAGACACTATGTGTGGATTGGGTGTGTGTAGACACTATGTATGCATTGGGTGTCTGTAGACACTATGTATGGATTGTCTGTAGACACTATGTGTGGATTGTAGATTGAGCTACTCTAGACACTGTGTGGATTAAGTGTCTGTAGACACTATGTATGGAATGGGCGTCTGTAGACACTGTGTGTGGATTGTCTGTAGACACTATGTGTGGATTGTAGATTGAGCTTCTCTAAACAGTATGTGTGGATTGGGTGTCTGTAGACATTATATATAGATTGGTTGTCTGTAGACACTATGTGTGGATTGGGTGTCTGTAGACACTATGTTTGGATTGGGCTTCTGTAGACACTATGTGTGGACTGGGTGTCTGCAGACACTGTGTGCGGATTGGGCATCTGTAGACACTACGTTTGGGTTTGGGTGTCTGTAGACACTTTATGTGAATTGGATGTCTGTAGACACTGTGTGGATTGGGCGTCTGTAGACATTATGTATGGATTGGGTGTCAGTAAACACTATATGTGGATTGTAGGGATTGAGTGTTGTTTGTGACCAAGGAGATCAATCTTACCGGTGTAAGGCAGGATTAGAATGTTGTCTTCACTCAGTCCTTGGTCCAGGGAGAACTTTCTGAAGTTTTCTATCAGCTTTGGACGCATTTCCTTGGTTCTTCCTGAATTCAGAAAAATTGAAAATGCTTAAATGTTTCAGTCTTTTATAGTGTACATAGTAAAAACTGAAGACAGCAAACATTCTCATTTTACAATAAAATGGATTTTTGCTAATTTTATAATGCCTGCACTATGTCTCTAGGAGGACTTTCTCATAATCCGCCATGAACAGTGAATCTATATTTCAGCACAATATGATGGTGTAAAAACCGGTATCAGGACTGTCCTAATGTGATCTGCGGCCAGGCCTTGGACCAGTGGTGGACAAACCCGGCAGCTGTTAAAATGCCACCGCCACCAATGGCACTACCAGTCCACAGGGGCGGACTGAATGAATATTTAGGCAAAACGGTCATGGACTGAGCCTCCGAGGCTTCTGGGAGCCTGGCTGCAATAGTGCAACAATGAGAAGACTGCAGTGATCAGAACTCTCCATGACTGGTCACACTTTAATATTGATGGCATAGGAACAGATGGCCACAAGAGACCTTCGTGCTGTGTGACCACGCCACAGGACCTGGGTAGGTAAGAGGATGAGGAAGGACAAAATAAAGGGGAGGGATAAAAAAAGACTTAGGAAGAGGGGAAGTGATGGGGAGAGACATGTGACAGCTGGGATCGAATTTAGAATGTAGGGAAGGGGAACATTTTGGAATTTCTCCATGGAGCCACATTCTCTAGATGCTGCCCTGTTTAGAGTCCCTCCAAACAAAGTTCCTGAAGGCATTTTCTGTAGGGCCCAATATACAAATCTCTATGATATCCACAGGTAATAGGTCTATTTTCCTTTAAATACTGACCAGGGGGATTTACTTACCGTAAAGAGTCACCATGGTCTTTACTTCTAAGCCTTTGGTAATGCCGGTGTATAGCATGATATATTCTTCATAGTTTGTTTCAACTACAATAATGTCCAGTGTGCTACCGGTGCCTTCAACAGAGTGACAGACTGTTAATACTTTTCTAAACCAAACCACAACATATCCAACATGTTTTCATCAGTGATACATACAATGCAGTAAAAATAGACTTCTTTGGTCTTGCCTTCTGTACCTTACCCATACCATGCCTTTTCTTCATATATTGACCTGGCCTTACCATACTGGCTGTGTCTGGTATCATGCCTAATGCTGGGCTTACCATCCTGGCTGTGTGTCGTATTGTGCTCAATGCCAGCCTTACCATACTGACTGTGCCTCGTATCATGGCCAATGTTGGACTTATTATATTGGCTGTGCCCATATCATGCCCAATGGTGGCCTTACCATACTGGCTATGCCCTATATCATGCCCAATGCTGGCCTTACCATACTGGCTATGCCCTATATCATGCCCAATGCTGGCCTTACCATACGGGCTGTGCCTTATCTCATGCCCAAAGCTGGCCTTACCATACTGGTTGTTCCCAATATCATGCCCAATACTTACCATACTGGCCGTGTCTCATGTCATGCCTAATGCTGGCATTACCATATCGGTTGTGCCTTGTATCATGCCCAATGCTGGCCTTACAATACTGTCTGTGCTCCATATTATGCCCAATGCTGGCCTTACGATATTGCCTGTGCCTCATATCATGCCCAATGCTGGCCTTACAATACTGGCTGTGTCTCGTATCATGCCCAATGCTGGCCTTACTATACTGGCTGTGTCTCGTATCATGCCCAATGCTGGCCTTACCATACTGGCTGTGCCGCATATCATGCCCAATGCTGGCCTTACCATACTGGCTGTGCCTCATATCATGCCAAATGCTGGCCTTACCATACTGGCTGTGTCTCGTATCATGTCCAATGCTGGCCTTACAATACTGGCTGTGTCTCGTATGATGTCCAATGCTGGCCTTACCATACTGGCTGTGCCGCATATCATGCCCAATGCTGGCCTTACCATACTGGCTGTGTCTCGTATGATGTCCAATGCTGGCATTACCATACTGGCTGTGCCTCGTATCATGCCCAATGCTGCCCTTACCATACTGGCTTTGCCTCATATCATGCCCAAGGCTGGCTTACCCCACTGGCTATGCCTCATATTATGCCCAATGCTGGCTTTACCAAGTCACAGCTAGAAGTGACTTAGCTTTGAGGATGGAAGAACCAGCTGGACTTGGCAGCCATGAGTGATGTAGAACAGTCCAACTTACGAATGCCTTTGGAGGTGTAGCGTCCTGGTGTGTCAGTCTTGGTGTAAATCAGAGTTTTATTCTCACAGCGATCCATTCTGAAATAGATGGGTGTAAAGTATTGATTATATTGGCTGTTGCCACCATCCTGCTAACTCTGACTTGCATACTCCATACTGTGTGTATACCCCGACAGTACTCCCAGTATCCCCCTACTAATACTCCCTGTATACCCCAACAATACTCCCTGTATTTCCCTACTAATACTCCATGTATATCCCTAATAATACTCTCTGAATATCCCTACTAATACTCCATTTATCCCCCTAATACTCTCTGAATATCCCTACTAATACTTCCTTTATCCCCTTAATACTCTCTGAATATCCCTACTAATACTCCCTGTATCCCTCTACTAATACTCTCTGTATCCCCTACTAATACTTCCTGTATCCCTCTGCTAATACTCCCTGTATCCCCTACTAATACTCCCTGTATCCCTATACTAATACTCCCTGTATCCCCTACTAATACTCCCTGTATCCCCTACTAATACTCCCTGTATCCCTCTACTAATACTCCCTGTATCCCCTACTAATACTCCCTGTATCCCCCTAATACTCTCTGAATATCCCTACTAATACTCCCTGTATCCCTCTACTAATACTCTCTGTATCCCCTACTAATACTCCCTGTATCCCTCTACTAATACTCCCTGTATCCCCTACTAATACTCCCTGTATCCCTCTACTAATACTCCCTGTATCCCTCTACTAATACTCCATGTACCCCTACTAATACTCCCTGTATCCCTCTACTAATACTCCCTGTATCCCTCTACTAATACTCCCTGTATCCCTCTACTAATACTCCCTGTATAACCCCTACTAATACTCCCTGTATCCCCTACTAATACTCCCTGTATCCCCCTACTAATACTCCCTGTATTCCCTACTAGTACCCCCTCTTTCCCCCTACTAATACTCTCTGTATCCACCAGCTAATTCTTCAGGTATACCCTATCTCATTATTCCCCATATGCCCCCTACCACTACTCTCTGGATATCCAATACTCACTGCCTACCTTGTAATGTTTATTATTTAACCCTTCTAATCCTTCCTGTTCCACCATTGCTCCCTATCTCGCCCCTCTCAATACTCCCTTAGTACTTCCTTCCTAGCAGTATACATATCGGACTAGCTTCAACGCAGGACTGTCCATTCTTTACAATTTTTTAACCATTAAATAAAACATTGAAATTAACCTATAACTTGTGTTTCTCTTTCCACGAGAAGATTCGTCTTGTTAAATTGATATTAGAGCTACAGGCTCAGTCACAGCTGCGATCCCTGCGACTGTGTTACGTACGCCACTGCTTATAACAATGACTGACAGTTGCTGCATAGATAGGTGTGTATTTCTACAATTAATTTTACTTTTCATACCTAACAAAAACATATTTGGTAAATATCAGTAAACATAATATAAAAAAAACCTAAACAGTGACACGTCTCCTTTAATTCAGTATAAATATTGGATCCCCATGGATCTCCCATTTGTCCACATTTTGGTACATGGTGTACGTACTTGGGATATGTAGCAGCGACCTCGAGGTTCCCATCAGCAGTGGGTGTTATCATGGTGGTGCACATCTTCATGTGACCCCTCTTGGCTTGGAACCAGTTGGAATTGGAAGCTATTCCAAAGCTGTACCATTTTCCTGTAATCTGAAAACAAAAACAGCGATGGTCACTCTACTACCTACCTGGCTCATTTAACCCCCTTGGGGGCCATTCACCCCTGAGATGAACCTGCTGGTATTTACTGAGGGGAACTTAGCATCAGCAACTTAACAGCTCGTGGCCTGTAGGCTTCCATGTGAAGTCAAGTGGCCACTAAACTTTGCTTCTAGAATAAAACCTGTGTGTGCCGGAGTGTAGGGCAAGATTTCTTAAAGTCTTCTGGCACACAAAAAAGTTAAATCCATCTCTTCAGGAACATAACAGAATTGGGTTACTCAGTGACATTTATTTGTTCTGCTTATTTGTATTTTAATTTTGCCCATTTGAATTGCTAGCTCTTCAGACAGTACTTTCTTTGCTGGATGGATCCAGAAATGTTAAACCAATTTAAGATATTAAGTCTGAGGTTTCTGCTCTTGCTTACACCTTTAATGTATTTATTCATGTATTGTATGCATATTAAAAAAATTTAAAAAAAGATGTATAAATATAAAATTTGTATTTTTCACTTTATTTTATGCACAATGTTGAAATGTGAAAACATAATGAAATAAAACATTGAATCAGTATGGATTAAGACTAGATTGTGTGCGTTGTTACTCTATATGTGAGTGTCAGTCCACATTCTACCAATTCTGCCCTCACCATATGCCAAGCCGTTTAGAGACTCGTTCCAATGCTGATTTCTGAGTTTTATTTATTTTGTAATTTTTCCTGATCGATATCACACAATCTTATGCACCATGAATTAATGATCGATTAATGATCGATGCAGAGCATCTGGGTGTACTGTAACTTTCTACTCTAAGACATATAGTCAGCTGCAAGTACCCCCCACCAACCGATATTGTACATGTCTATCTGTCTGTCTGGGTTATTAACTAAAGTGAGAATTCAAAGTAAATTCGATTTAAGTGTCATATTTAAAGCCAGAATATTTGAACCGACAGCATAACTGACTTAGAGAACTTTTTGCTATTTTGATCTTAAATTTGAAAATCACTTTTATTCTTCACTTTAGTGAATTACTCTGAGTATGTCAGACTGTGTATATAAAACTTTAACATTGTACATGTGCCTCCTACTTACTTTGTCATCCTTGAAGTCTGGCTGAATGGGGACATCAGCCAACGCATACCACGAACACGCAGCCACCACCAAGGTCAGACTAAGCATATTTCTCATCATGGTCCTGTCTTGGTCCCAAACACTGGAGATAGAAGCTTCTGAGTCAGTGTGAGAGGTACTGGGTCTGTAGGATTTATATACACCATGGCACAACTGGATCCCAGGCCATGTGACACATGGGATGGATTTTGGCAAGTCCAGACATCATCCATTCATTTCCCCCCTGCTCAGTTCGCCTGCAGGGCAGAGAATGTTATGGAATGTCCCTGTTGGTCGGAGGGGATGGTGGATGAAGGGTGCTGGGATATTTTGATTGGGGCCCAAAGGTGTGTCATCACTTTTCTGTCCTTTCCAGCTGTGAACCACATTCAATTCATTAGTTTGTGATAACAAAGGCTTTGTGGAACCTGTTTTTTTGTGATGTGACACTGTGCTTTTCTAAAGTCGATATTAAATCTGACATTCCTGGATGCCTGAGGCCATACAGCCCTCACGCTATAAGATACACTGTATGTTCTTTGAACATGATACAATAAAACAGATTGAGATCCCTTGTTTACTCTCGAGCTTGACAATGAACGTTTACAGCTGACAGGATAAATCATAGCTGGAACGCTGGTGGCCTCGGGGCTGGTTACTTTATAATTAACTATATACTCCTGTTTACAACTTTGACAACAAAGAGTATTAAGAGATTCCTTAATGAAGGCTAACCTTGTTATAGTTACAAACATATTAGATTAATAAAATCAGTGAATTTCAGTGTAACGGCCACCCCGAGTGTAAAGGGGAATATGCCGTTAGAGACGTCCTTTTCCCTTAGTAGGAGCAGTGCTGTGATGTTCTTCAGTTGTCATCTCAGCCGACCAAATGTCAAATAAAGCGGTAGAGCTCTTACAAGAGCTAGTGGTATAGCAATATAGCGGTTCCCTACAAGCACGAGACGACGGTACGTGTTGAGGGTTAAGCAGGAATGATTTAATGGTAGCCACACTTGCCTTTTATGCAAGTCTACTAAGGGAAAAGGACGTCTCTAACGGCATATTCCCCTTTTACACTTTGGGTAGGTGTTACATTCAGCTTTTAGGTTACATTTAATAAACAAATAGAGTTGGATTATTTTATGGTAAATAAATGAATCTTCTTTGGGTTTAGGAACAGAAATAAAGAAATGGTTAATTTTAGGTTCAGTTATTTTTTTTTTTTTTTGTAAATATAATTTTTATTGGTTTATTGAATAATCTGATATATTGATGAGAGATTGAGACTCGCAGGTCTCACTGATAACCTATGTGATAAGACACATAAGTATAAATGCAAACGGTGCAGACACGCAGGTCTGGAAACATATTGAAACAACAGGGACACGCAGGTCCCGTAATGGACGTCTTATAACCATATTAACAGAATTTGTCACTTGGCCCTGTGAGTTGTGTATTGTCTCCATGAGTATAGAGTTGTGTGTTCGAGATCATTATGTTGTATCGCCATCGGCAGTTATTATTATTTTTATTATTTATATAGCGCCAGCAAATTCCATAGCACTCTACAATGGGTGGGCTAACAAACATGAAGTTGTAACCAGACAAGTTGGACACACAGGAACAGAGGGGTTGAGGGCCCTGCTCAATGAGCTTACATGCTAGTTACCACCTTTTATTTCCAGTTTGGGAATTACTGGGGACATAAATGATAAGTCAATGATTAATGAATCCTAGACACACTTTGAGTCTTTCCAATTTTTGTCGGTTCGTCTGTAGCAGAGCCCTAGTCCTAGAAGGCACTCTTCTCCGCTGGATCCACAAAAGTAAAATAATGAACAAGTAAAACCCCAAAGAAATATCCCACCTCCTCCCCAGCAACTGGACGACACACAGTTCTAGGAGTACAACTGAAATTTATTGAGTCACACACTGCTTTTTTGCCCAGTCCCATGCAAGTGGTTCTCAACACAATGACACAAGGGTTTCAATCCCAGGATCCTCTGTGTCTGAGAGATAATTGCGTGAGAAATATCCTCTAATTTAATTATCAGGTACACAAAATACAACAAAATATACTGTAGCAGATCCTGGGTAACCCGGCTGGATATTAATGAATGAACAGACCCATTTTCCCCCTAGTAACTGGCCGACACACAGTTCCAGGGGTACAACAACTTTATTGGTCCCACTCGGCTTTATACTTATACCTCAGGGCTTCCCACCTCCGGTGTCCTATTCCCATGAGTCTCTGTACCCGGGAGCCCCAGCGCAGGAAAGTTGCTCGCCTCTTTGGCTCCCAGCTACAGAAACCCGCCAAACCACCATTGTCCCCAAAGAGTGTCCCTGCAGCAGGGCCGGACTGGGGATTCCAAAGCAGCCCTGGAAAAAAAATCTATGCCAGACCCATAAGTCATTGCGCCATATATTGTCGCATGTAATATGTAAGGCTATGTCTTGCCACCCTAGATGATTGATTATATATATATTGCTTTTTCCAATATAAAATATTGGTCCTTTCAGAGTAAAATTTTTAATTATACAGTAAGCATACTCACATGCAGACACAGACAATCTCACTGACACAAGCTGATTGATACACAGCCTCATAAACAAACAATCTCACTGATATACATAAGGTCATTGACATAAAAACACAAGCTCACTCAGTAGCAGACACACACACACACACACACACACACACACAAGCAAGCCCACTCACTAGCAGGCGCGCACACACACACAGCTCAATGTAGTGGCTCTGGTGTCTATAGCCTGTCCCTGCAGGCTTTTCAATGTAAACACTGACTTTTTAGAGAAAAGGCCTACTTTGTGTCTGTAAGGTGGGAGGAAGTGACTCGTCTTTGCACTCCCTGCACATATTAAAGAAGATCGTTTGTGCTGGCAAAGGGCTTAGGACTTGACGGGGACCCTGATGAGACCTGCCAGTCTGTTGGGTTTGCCTTGTGTATGGGCTTACCAATGGGCCCTCAATACTTGCGTGCCCCCACAGGCGGTATGGCTGCAGTTCCTTCTTGGTGCTGCATTATGTTATTGTGTTACTTGCTTGGGGTGCAGCCCCCACTATACTGGATTGTGTTACTTGCTTGGGGTGCAGCCCCCACTATACTGGATTGTGTTACTTCCTTGGGGTACTGCCCCTACTATACTGGATTGTGTTACTTCCTTGGGGTACAGCCCCCACTATACTGGATTGTGTTACTTCCTTGGGGTATAACCCCCACTATACTG